TATCAAATGAAGTGACTTAACATGGATGAAGTGAGAAATAGTTGAGTTGATATGTTTAAGTTCTTCAAGTGCTGTCTTCTTTTGCCCTTTTGGCTTTTGGTATATGAAAGTAAAAATAAGAAGCAAAATTAGACTTCGACTATATATTATCCACACTTCGGGAAAGTTGGGATTATACAATGCACTATAAAGAAAAAATATGGTTAATAGGGGGACTTGTGTTTATATGTTCATTTTGTAACAGGGAATTTAAGGAGAAAAACAAGGTTGATAAGGTGGTTGTGTTGTGGACGGCAAACACAGAGAGGTATAGCAATGTTGTGGTTGGGCTAAATGATACAGTCGAGAGCTTGATGGCCTCAGTTGATAGAAATGAGGCTGAGATATCCCCTTCAACTTTGTATGCCATAGCCTGTGTGCTTGAAAATGTTCCCTTTATCAATGGCAGCCCACAAAATACTTTTGTTCCAGGTAACTATAAAGCTAGAAAGAAAGAAAGAGAAAAAAAAAAAAGAAAAGAAAAATCTAATTAGTCGTAATGTTCCCTTATCAAAAGCAGTTAACAATAACTTATGGACTTTCTGATTTTTGTTGATCAGGGTTGGTTGATTTGGCCATTCAGAGGAACAGTTTGATTGGAGGTGATGATTTCAAGAGTGGCCAGACCAAGATGAAATCTGTGCTAGTCGATTTTCTTGTTGGAGCTGGTATCAAGGTATAATCCGTCTTTTACCCATTTTGCATAACTCAAGGCTAGTTAAATTACGAAAACGATCGGATAAGTTGAAGTTGCCAAACTTGGGATTGCAAAAACTTTCCTTAGTTTGTGATTTTTATTATTTATTTATTTTTTACAGCCAACCTCGATTGTGAGCTACAATCATTTGGGAAACAATGACGGAATGAATTTATCGGCCCCACAAACTTTCCGGTCTAAAGAAATCTCAAAAAGCAACGTTGTGGATGATATGGTTGCTAGCAACGGCATTCTTTATGAGCCTGGAGAACACCCAGATCATGTCGTTGTTATCAAGGTACGTATACTAGACAAATATTGACCATCAAAATAATAATGTTTACCAAAATTTTCATTTAACTAATTACACGGGTGAGTGAGTGCATGCAGTATGTGCCGTATGTTGGGGACAGCAAGAGAGCCATGGACGAGTACACGTCGGAGATTTTCATGGGAGGCAAAAGCACCATTGTTTTGCACAACACTTGTGAGGACTCACTTTTAGCAGCTCCCATTATCTTGGATTTGGTCCTGCTTACCGAACTCAGCACACGCATTAAGCTCAAAGCCGAAGGCGAGGTCTGACTTCTTTCTCTCTTTCTTTTTTTTTTTTTTCTTTTGAATTATTTTTTCTTGGTCATAACAATTTGTCTATTTATTTTAATATTTCATTTTGATCTAATTTGATTTGTGCTATTGCACTAGTGATTGATATTTTTCCTTTTCTCTTTCTTGGTGGGTTCATTGACAGAGCAAATTTCATTCTTTCCACCCTGTGGCCACCATCCTCAGCTACCTCACCAAAGCCCCTCTTGTAAGTATATTTCAAGAATTATCTTTAATTCATGGTTAATTGCAAAAACCATCAATCTAATTACAGTAAAAAAAAAAAGGAAAGAAAACACAGTTATCTGCACCCTGGTAACAATCTTATGTTAGTGTTTGCAATTTTAGCATGTAAACGGAGCTAATTTCAAAAACACCCCTAAAAAATTATCTGATTGCCAGAATACCAAGTTAAGGCATCCTGATAATCATAAATTATTGGGGGTGCTGTTTGTTGCAAAAACACCCCTAAAAATCTGTTTATTATTGACAGGTGCCACCTGGAACACCAGTCGTAAATGCGCTATCCAAACAGCGTGCAATGCTTGAGAACATATTAAGGGCTTGTGTTGGATTGGCTCCGGAAAACAACATGATTTTGGAATACAAGTGAAGAACGAATTCGTGGGACGTGTGGGAGATCCCTTATCCATCTCTGTAAAACTCTTTGGATTTATTTGTAGTTGTAATAAACGAGGTGCATGTTACCGTTTAAGCTCAGTAATCTTGTAGCCTCCCATATTGTGTGTGGAAAACTATGAATGCAACAACTGTGCAATGAATCTGATCTTTGCTTGTTCATTATCATGTGTACAAAAGTTATTTCCAGATTGCAGTCATTCTAATGAAAGAATTTCACAACAGCTCTGCAGATATATTTCTAAAGTTGCAACTTCGGTTTCTAAAGTTGCAAACTCCTAAACTTCGGTATGAAATTTGAACTGTTTCCAGAAAATAATAACAGTGATATCAGTAAAAGAGAAGAACTTCAACCTTTCAATTGTAATTTTGTTCTTTGTAAGAGGTTATGATCGTTTTATGTTTTTATTCATTTATTTTTTAGGGCGTGTTTATAATAAGATGTGCCGCCATTGGCAATTTGCTATTCGAAAATAGCGGTGACAACTCATAGCTCAATATTAGAACACTATGAATTTGGTCAGAAGAAATTGCAAAAAAAAAATACCAAATACAAATACACAAATACGATTAACTTGGATTTTATAGGACAATGGGAGTTTTTACTTGAAACTGTATGTGGTCGGGGTGATGCACAAGTTGTACGAGTTATAAATGTGATAAAACTAACTGATACACTGTTACAATTTCAACATGTAATTAAATTATTAATGTAAAAAAATATTGAATAATAAGCATAAGGTAAAAAAAAATCATAAATAAAAAGAAAAATAAGTGATATTTCAAATAAAAGGTGAATAAAATAACCATAAACTGACGTTTGAAAATTTTCAAAGTTATGTAGTATATCCAAAATAAAATTATTATAAATTTGGTAGCATATGCTTTATATTTAATTATATCCCTTTATTTATAACATGACACAAAATAAGAAAGAAAATTGATATTTAAACTATATATATATATATATATATATATATATATATATTTATATATATATATGTGTGTGTATGTATATATAGGGTTAGGATCAAATGAGAACGGCTAATAGTGAAAGAAATAAGAATGAATCTTAACTGTCGGATGTGATATATCGACACTCCAGGCATAGTTAAAGGGTCCAGTTTTGGTCAAATGGACAGTGGCATTGTTTGTAATTATGTGAACATTGGATTTTTCATGCGAGGATATTTTTTGTCATTGCACTGAATATACTGTTATGTTAATGTGTATTTTCACACACATTACAGTGCACTTAGCCTAATAATATTTTGCATTCAATAGTGCAGTGACATTTTGGTAAATTTGTGAATTTTAAAGTTCTTTAATTTCTAATATATACGACCATATTTGTACATGTTACTTTTCATTATTGTGCACTTATTAATTTTCTTGATAAATTACATATTTGACCCATGAACTAAATTTCTGAAATTGCAATCAAGATCCTGAGACGTGTCAAATTTTTAA